CAAAAGGTTACGTCAACTATGAAAATATCGATGATATAATCAAGGAACAAATGTGTGATGCTGATATAGTTTATGTTCGAGGTCACCAGAAAAAGGACTTTCTCGATGAAAAAATTAGTAAAATTGATGATGATGGTCAAAGATGCCCGAAAATAATAAACCTGGAAACTCTAGATGCCACCTGGACTTCTTCGATGACAAAGTTTAGTCGAGATATTCCAAAATGTATGAGTCATTTAACTGATAAGAATTATATGTGTAGTTTAAGAAATTGTTTTGTTATTCATAATTGGATTTCTGATTGTATGCCTATATAATTTCTAGAATTAAAATAAAATTTAAGTATAAAAAATGGTATTTTTATTTATTAGTACCAAATCAGCCATGGTCGCGTTAACATCAAGTTTTGTGCTCTTGACTGCATTAGTAAATGGCGTATTTTATATTCATCAGCCTAGAAATGCACAAAGTGTCTTTATTTGTCTCAATAAGACAGATGAAACTTGGCCGCAAAATTGGGCTGAAATGAAAACGGGTTATGTTGAAAATGTCCCAATATTTTCCATAAAATTGTCTGACAAAGTGACCCAGTACAAGATAAGGATTTTATATCCTAATCGTACACACGGAGACAGTGACTGGAAGAACTTTACTATGCTCCCACCACCACCACCACCACCTCCGAAACACTTTGATGACATCAACTCAACAACAACAACAGCACCTCCAACGATAGTGACGTCACCAGCCGACTTTGATTTCACCATCGTTGGACTAGTCTACTACATAACATTCGTGGCATCAGTGCAGCTAGTCGAGTCCATAGGAAAATTTTACTATGCGAATTTCCATTAACTTATCAGAAAACGTGACGCATTACAAATTAAGGATTCGATATCATAATCATACTCATCGATATAGTGGTGAATGGAGAAAACCACCGAGACAGCAGATAGTTAACAATAACTCAACAAAAACACCTCCGACGATAGTGACCACTGTATCATCAGTATTGAAATTTACTGTCGTTGTATTAGTCTGCTACATATCATTCGTGGCAGCAGTACTACTACTTGAGCCTATAGGGAAATTTTTCTATGTATAATGGGCGCACGTCAGATAAAGCCTGAATATATCGATGAACTTCATGATTTAATCAATAATATTAGGTCTCCAACAAAGTTTGACAAGTATTTCATCAAGACGCTTAACACAAAGCTGAAAATACCAGAAGAAACGTTGATTGAATTAATGAAACCGTGCTGGGGGCATAGACTTGATGCAAACGCTATTGGAGGCTATGACGTAATTGATGGTCCTGAATATTCATTTAAAATTGATTGTAAAACATGTGTAAATTTATTACTCAAAAAATAAAAAAATAAAAATATATAGTTGCAAATTACTTGTGTGTTTTTCTATGTTATATTAAAAAATGAGATAAAAAGGGTCTTCGATGTACTAAAACATGTTAGTATGCATTAAACTCTAGTGCAAGCATGAAGTGCCTTGAATTTTTATTATTTTGTCAGTTGTGCCGAATTAGTCTGAGCCTTGTTGAACCTCGTGATTTTCTAATTGCTTATGGTTATCTGAAAAATGAAACAGCAACCGATAACAGTACAGGTGTTAGTGCAGTAACTGATATATCGGAAGCTATAAGCGCTTTTCAAGAATTTTACCATCTGAAAGATATTGATGGTCAGGTCAATAATGAAACGCTAAACTTAATGTCTAGACCTCGCTGTGGTGTGCAAGATGTTCCTGAATCATTTACATTAAACGATGGTAGATGGACAAAAAGAACTTTAACTTGGCAGATTAATTATATTCCCTTTGGTTATGCTGCAAAGGAAATTCATGCTGTAGTGCAAAAGGCCTTCAAACTTTGGTCTGATGTAACAAATTTGAAATTCATCAATAATTGGTCCTCATCAAAACCGAACATAATGATATCATTTGGAACACAACAGCATTCCTTCAACAGCAAATGTACAAAATCACCATGTAAATTTGATTTTGATGGGAAAGGACTGGTATTGGCTCATGCTTATCCTCCGACTGGTGACGATAATGATTGTATCGAGATTCATTTGGATAGAAGTGAAGATTGGTACTTTGGATTGGATGGAAAAATATCTTATTATGGTCAAACGAGTTTGCTGTGGGTATTAGCTCATGAAATTGGACATACATTAGGATTAAGTCATTCGGATGAAACAAATTCCTTAATGTATGCATATTATGGTGACATTTCCAACTTAAGTACTGATGATGTAAGAGGAATTCAGCACCTGTATGGGAAAAAGCAAACACAGAATTCAGCTACCACAATTTCCACGCCTCCTTCTCATCCTAAAACTACTCCTCCTACTACTACTACTACTACTACTAGTACTACTAATACTACTACTACTACTACTCCATCATTGGTACCTGCACACAAACCGACAAATTATCAGGATATTTGTAAGGTAGATCCTAAGGACTTACAATTTTTGATATTGCATCAAAAGCTATATATCATTAACAAAGATCGAGTATGGATAATGGATTTGGAAACAAAAAATTTCACTTCAAAGGACTTATCTATTCATTCAGTGTTACCGTTTTTACCTAAATTCGAGAAAATAACTGCGGTTTATCAGAGACCTTCCGAAGAAATCATAATTATTATTGAATCTGAAATATTCGCCATCAATGATAAAAACTTCCAGTTAATTAGAAAATCAAACGTTTCGGAAACAATTGCTGCACAATTCAACAATAGGAAAATAATAGGTGCAGTAAATTCGTATGCTGGAAAAACTATTTACTTTTTCGAGGATAATTACTATTTAATAATAAATGAATGTAACTTTGGCGTGGAAAAGTTTGGTTACATTTCGAAGGACTTTATTGGAATACCTTCATCTATCGATAGTGTTTTCAGATACATAAATGGGATGCTATACTTTTTCCAAAATGGCCGATATTTCGAATATAATGAGTTTACGAATTCTTTAAGGACATCAGATAAAATTGATTTATTAAAATTTGATATACAATGCCCCAATTTAACTTTATATGAACAATTGAAAGAGCTATTGACACGTCTATTATTGGTTACGTAAACAAAATGCAGCTCATCATCATCAGTCGTTGTCTAGAGACCATGAACTGCACACTTGCTGAGAGAATTCAAAATCATCTAGTAAATCTCTCTAAATTGATAAAAGACTTGGACTTTTACCAAGAAAAACAGTTACTGTTCAAAAATTTTGAAAATTTAAAAATGGATTCGAAATGGGATGGAGTATTTTCATCAACTTCTAGATTTGCGAATGGATCAGCAACAAGCAATCGGAAAATTGTTCCAAAACCAGTCTATCAAGAATATAACATTGGAGACATTGTGCAAATTATTTATAATCCTGAGAAAACGTACATCGTCTTACATAATAAGAACGACACTTCAATTCAATTAACCTACAACGAATTTGAGGAATTTTTACAGTTTTTCGATAATATAAATGATGGATGGTCGGATACAAGCTTCTATATTGGCGAATTCATTTACGTTAGCTATTGGAATGAGGAAGAAAGTAAAGGCTTGACTATGGTGGATAAGCGAACAATGAAAAACATTTATTGGAATGAAAATCATCTTGATTCAATTTTAGAGCATAAATATAACTTGTATGATATTTTTCTTAAATAAAAATAAAAATTCAAACTTGTTCTTTTTCTATCCTATAACAAAACCCACAATAACTTGTGTAATATTCCATAAATAAAACAATTATTAGATAATTATAAAAATTCGTTATCGTCGCAGGAAATGCGGCTTCCGTGTGATAAGCAAGTTCGCACACAAGTTGCTGTTCTTCTTGTTGTTTGTTTATGAGAACGGTAGAAATTATAATTATTTTAAAAATAATATTTGGGGCCCCCCAATTAAATCGTTACAAGTCCGTGAAAAATGGGGCCCAAATTGGAGCACTATTTTTTCAATGATGATGATGATGATGATGTTGTCTTTTATGTGACCATATTTTTAGTTTAGAAAAATGGGGCCGACGACGACGAAAAAAGGGGGCCCAGTACGGCGTATCTTGGTACGAGGTACCAGGTACGAGGTACCAGGTACGAGGTACCAGGTACGAGGTACCAGGTACGAGATACGCGGTATCAAATTTCAGGTTATGAGTTCTAGGTACGTTGTACAAATTTCAAATTACCAGCACGAGATATGGGACATCAAATTTCAGGTTATGAGTTCTAGGCTACGTGCGCCTCAAAATTTGGGGGCCTGTATTGGTTTCATATACGATGATGATGGATAATGGGGCCGCGGGTCTAGCTGCGGAGACAAGTGGCCCCTTTCCGATTTTTCCCTAGATTTAGGGAAATTTTATTGGCAACGTCGCACATTATCAGTTCCGGCAACGTCGCACGTACCTGTCATCTCGTATGGGGTATCTCATTTCAGGTTATGAGTTCATGTAAATGAGGCCCCCGAAAAAAAAAAAAAATGGGGTCACGGGTCTAGCAGCGGGGACAAGCACGTATGGCCCCTTTGATGACGTCACTTATTGGGTTAGGTCTATTCAAATTGGGGGCTTGCTACTTAGGTTAGGCCTCTTTAAATTGGGGCTTGCCAAAAAATGGGGCCCACGAAAAAATGGGGCCACGGGTCTAGCTGCGGGGACAAGCATGTGGCCCCTTTGATGACGTCACTTGGGTTAGGCCCCTTCACTTGACGAAAAATGGGGCCCACCGAAAAAATGGGGCCCTGGAATGGGGCACAGGCCCACCTGGTGGAGGCCCCTTCAATTTGGGGCTTCTCTGATGACGGGCGCGGGCCCCAGAACGAGATTGGGGCCACTTCCGGTCTAGAACTCTCCTAGTATGACTACTCTTGGTTCGTGTATTACCTTCTTTTCAGTGACTGTTGTGTTTTTATCTTCTTGAATTTGTTTAGTTTCATGTTCTTGTCTATTTTCTTTATTTACGTCTACCTCTTGATCATTCGCTTCTTTGGGATTTTCTTCATCTTCTGTGTTGCTCGTTAATTCTTTTTCTAGGTGTTTCAGTCGTTGTTGAGTTGTGATACTTAGCGTTTGCTGTGCTTCATTACCTCTTCTTAAACATAATTTTGCCTCCTTGCCTTTGTTCTCTTTAGAATTTTCGGATTTTTGATTTTCTCTGTCTCGCTCTTCTTCTGAAGTAAAAGTTTCTGACAACGTGTCACTGTAGAGAGACATATCGTCATCATCTGAAGTGCCACTTGAACATGACCATGTTCCTGGTTTATCCATTAAATCCAGTTCCAACAGTACACTTTTGAGCTTATTGAAATAGTCGGTAACGATGAATTTGTTGAGCTTTTGAGCTCTTGCCGGGTTCATACTCTGCGCTCGACTAGCAGAAATAAAGCCAGCAGCGACCAGCTAATTTGCTTTGCTGTGAAAAAACATTGGGCAAACCTTTCTGCTCACAGTAATTGAAAACGCTTCTTCGAACCATTCGTTTCGTAAGAGGATAACCTATGTCAGCCAACCTTTCAATTCTTGTTTCCAGTTCAGTTTCCTCATCTAGTCCTAAAAGAGTTCTTCTTCCAAGTTTTTGTTTTTTGTTTGTTCCTTTGCTTAGGTAACGATTAAGAGTTCTTCTTGATATTTCAAATCTCTTAGAGGCTGCATTCTTTGATTCACCATTGGCTATTGCACTAAGGGCCCGTTGAAGATTGTCTTCAGACCACTGGGACCTAAGCCCTTTTGATTTGTACTTTGGCATCTTTAAAAAATAATTCTTATTAGTGAATTATTGTGCAAGTGATGGTAATATGCTCAATGGGCATAATATCAACATTGCCCATTGGGCATATTATCAACAATGTATGCTTTTTAAATTTATTCAATTTTTTTTACTAACCTCAAAATATTTTGCAACAAATTATGTATGAAAATAAAGGCCAATGTATAGGTTTTCAAATAAGGTGATCACAATTGCAAAAGAACGTTTCACTTCCACTTGTCACGTAATTGAAAATTGCACTTTTTTAGATCAGAGACGTCCAAAATCGTGTACGTACTCTCTTATGTCCGGTAAAGCACTGAGCGGCCTGGATTTATTCTAGAGTCCTGTAGATACTCACTAAAAGGGCATCTGGCGCCATCTGTGGATCGTACACTTGAAATGCGTTTAAATTACACTGTGTGGGCATATTATCAACATGGGCATATAACCTTCCACTACCTTATACATAGATTTTTATTTTTATTGCGTTTTGGCAGTTAATCAGATTAATATCAAAAAAGTTCTATTTTTTCAAGAAAATTCAAGTAAGTAGTTAGTTCGAAAAACTTGATTTTCAAGTTACTTGATGTGTAACTACTTGACTTGACTTGAGTTTCAAAAACAAATACTTGACTTGATATCAAGTCAAGTCAAGTCAAGTAGCTTGAAAATCAAGTCAAGTCGTGAATCTCTGAGGCAAAGAGAACGGGCTTGAATAGGATATCTCTCAACATATTAGACTTTTGAGTGCATCAATTAATTTAAATAATTTTGCACCTTAAGTTGATGTTGGGTATCTTCCATCAGCCTGGAAGACGGCAGTTATCTATCGTAAACCGAAAGTAAATGTCCTATCTCCATTTGACAATCTGAGGCATGTAAGCCTCGAGTAAAGTATTACTGTAGAAGACTTCAGCTCGGGTAACTCGAGGTCGCCAAGTCTGTATTCACTGGATGTGAATCCCGGAGTTTAATATTTTCCAAATCGAATGGGTCCGTTCACTGTTACCGCAGTGTCTACTAAACATACTCTGTTTGATTGGTGAACCCAGTACCAGGTTTCATTCCGCCTTCAGTTCCGTATACAACACTTACGTAGACATGACACTTATCATGTGTGTGCCGGCTGGCGGTAGAAGTCTCTCTGATTTTCTCAATTAATCAGGTTATTGCACATTGAGTTGTAACACTTTTATTTTACGTAAGAAAAATCAATTACCAAAATGTAACCTTATTTGGATTGCGACCTTAGTTCAACAGAGTTTGTTAAAGTGTCCACGTGCCCGGTTCGTGGATTCGTGCGCCACCAATTTTTGAAACTAAATCGGAAAAGTCCTGCGATGACTGCAGGTTGAACTAAAGTACAAACCAAATTATTATGCCTGAAATGTAAGAAAATAATTGGATAAGCAAAAAAGACACAGAAAGCAGGTAATTGGCAATACAACAAAATCAGTATTTATTGAAAATTAAGTATTGATTTAGTACAAGTTATGATGATTAAATAATGATTATGACAAGTATTCAGAGGCTAGTATGACGACTAGCAGGAATAAAGAACCTAAAGGCTTCCTCATAGTCAGATTTAAGAAAACTGTCTGTCGGTATTGATATGTATGAATACCTATATAAGCAGAGAGCTATACTTAAAACTAAAATAACCAATAAGTGCGAATTAACACACACCCAGCGTCAGTGATCACTCCGCAAATAAATGGGGTCAAATGTTTACTTAAATGTGAGTAACTAAAGTTACCTAAGCCATATACGATATTTTTAAATAATTAATAAAAAAAATTACACTAAACTACTTAGCTTTATGCCGACAATTAACAATGGATCTGGGATTTCACACTCGTACCAGATGATCTATCTCATCAATGAAAACTAGTTCGCCGAGTCTTTGCTATTCAGATACAGTGGTGGGTACTGCATACCATCAAAACATCCACTGAGTTGCGTTATCGAAAACGGTAGCATAAAACCGTATCATAAGACCCTAAAGAAAGCACCAATGAGTAAATAAATTACCCTTAAATCCCCATTGAAATTATGCCACTTGGGATATGAAATTGTACATTTCAATTCCCAAGTTTTAACCCATTTACTAAATATAATGAGTTCAATTCATCAAATAAGTTGCATTGCAAAAAAAAAAATATATATTTAAATAAAAAAACTATAAGTCTACCAATCAATGCGGCATAGAATGGTCCCCCAATAAAACATTAAAATGGAAAATTGCCATTATAATTACCTCGTGGATTTTTGAGGGTCACAGCTCAAAGGTTGAAGGTGAACGGAAGGTCATGGAACTCTAATTTCACCTACGCTGGCTGATCCAATTTGGAAGTTCACAATAACGAGCAACAATAAAATCAAGGCTCTAAGAGTCTAGGCTCAAACAATTCAATCCAAGCGACGTGATGTGATATTCTATTGTGAGAATAGAACTAATTAATTTACAATAAAACAAATTTACAAAATGGTGGACTTACCGACTAGAAGAAATAGATAAATCCCTTAGAAAGGTGATTTGGCTGCCAAAAGGTAACAAAAACCAAAACTAGACTGGCAAAACCAAAATTGAAATTATCTGGATGACCGGATCCTAATTAAACAGAGAAAATCACTTAATTTTCTTTATGGTCAACCGGATAAAAAAAAACTATTCTTCAGGCCAAAGCCAAAGTGTTCTAGTCGCTGGACGAAATAGAAGAGACCGTTGTACGATTTTTGGGACCCTAAACCAGAAATTTCTACGCACTAACTTTTTTTTATGTTACATTTTTTTCTATCGAATTCCACATTCCACACTTTAGGAAGGATTGAAAGATAACAACAAAGATATCGATACTCGTCAGCGAAAACTCCAAAGAGACTCAACAAATGGGACCGAATCAATCCACACTAATCAGGAAAACACTATTCTCATTAAAATCTATAAATAACTTCACTTATTAAATAATATTGTCCATACCTTCTCTGACACGACACCAATTATATCGACATGTATTGAAAAACCCAACCCTACGCGACCAAAACCAAAGTACCAGCAAATTGATCGATATAGGTACTCGATAACAGGTAGATAAAAGAAACGAAATCCTCCAGTAAGAGAGAGACAGAGAGGGAGTGAAAACTAAAGGAATTAATCCTTCGAAATGAACTGGCGCACAGCCGGCGCGAAAATAAAATTGAATGACAATTAACTGGTCATAACCCCTTTTTATTTGAAAATCAAAACAATGTTGGCTATCGACTAATGAAATTGATAATTTATGTATATTCCTTTTAAGGACAACAAGAATAAGATAACCAGGCATTGTTCAATAAATATTCATCTGCAATGGTCAACTAAATCATTAGACAAATGATAAGGAGCAAAATCTTGTCTGGCTGTGCCTGAAATTATCTAAAAAGATGCAGAGTAAGGTAATTAATATCCAATCAATTAAGTCAGCTCTAAAATAATATTTGTGTGTTACCAGTTAAAACGCTGAATTACTCATTTAATGGGAAGAGCAAAATTAAAATGTTACAACTCTCCCCTCTCTTTCACAGGAGAAAATCTTTCTTGAAAGATTCTCGACGATAAGATTGTAAAGTCGACAGAAGGCATGAACAAAAAGATAAAAGCTAATCAATAAAATTAACATTATCAAGGGTAACAAAAAAAACTGAAGGTATAAAAGTTAAAGGCATATATAAACAAAGTGTACGAAAGGATATTTCGAATTGCTATAGTTCCCCGCGACGGAAATGACCGACGAAGACACCACACAGAAAGATTTCGCAAGATAAGAAAGAATAGAAATCATCTGGAACAACTACTTCGAGAGCAAATACCCCTACCGACATTGAACTATGCAGCTGATCCCTACCTTGCTCAAAATCTTGATGGAACAGCGAAATTGTCCAGAGTTGCGTAATCCCAGTAAAGTGTGGGAAACCTCGTGCACTGGTTCTATAATGAATTTCCTCGACAGACAAACCCACCGCATGGAACCAAAACAGTCAAAAACAAAGGATTGGGACACAAAGGATCGGTTGGATATAGCTCCACCAGGCTGATACAGGGCAAAAAGGAACAGCAAATACAAATATACGTACATATCCGACCATACACTCTCCAATACGCAATTTAAGTCAGTCAAGGCAAAAAAAAGAAAAATTATATGAAGGTGAGATACAGAGAAATTGAATTCTTCGACCAACAAAACTACGCACAAACACCCAGTCACGAGCAAGCTGAATGTGCCCAGTCAATTGGCTAAAGCACCAATAGATAAAAAAAAAATTAAAGAAAACAAAAAAAAATTAACCATCAATACCAGTGATTGTGAGATATTGAGGTTATGCAATAGAAGTAAGGTATCGGAAGGATTACCTCACCACAGCACTTAGTGGACTCTTACCACAACCATGTTCTAGGTACAGGATTATTCTACCTAATTGTACCTTGATTGTGAACAATTATCTTGTTTCGCGCCAAGACAACCGCCCATGATCAAAACAATCGCCCACCCTGCAGGGCGTTAAACAAAACAAAAAAATTACTGAACAAAGATAAAGAAAGATAATATAGCCTTGACATCACGACAACAATTACGGGATTACCGGTTTCAGATTTTCAACGTGCCAAACACCAACACCACGTCCTGAAAAATCCTCTAATTCATAAGTCAAATAACCAGTTTTACGTTTGATCTTAAATGGGCCAAGATATTCTGGGGCCAATTTAGCACTATAATGTTTAGCCGCATCCGATAACGAGTTGTTTTTACGCCAAACTTCCTGACCAACTAGAAATGAATGGGCTGGTCTTCTCCTCAAATTATAATGACGTTCATTTCTTGTACGAGAAGCCAATATCTTCTTTTGAATCTCAATATAAATTTGGCGAAGCTTCCCAACTTTCTTGTTGACGTAATTCTCAACTGTGACGCCATCCTTGGCCAAGATAGT